CCCCCCAACTGAGGTCATGTACTCATTTTACACCTGGGTGGAGCAAGGAAATTTAAAGTTGTGTTCTGTGCCTATTCCCAAGGACACAATGCCTTGCCTGGAATGGCAGGAATCAAACCCACAACCTCTCGGTCTCATGTCTGCTAGTATTCACTCATTCTCTCACTTTTTTCCCCATAGCTTAGTCAGCCATTAGGGCAGCATGATGTTTAAAAAATGTTTTTCCACTGCTATTAATAGTATTATTACCACTCAACAATTCAGGTACTATTAGAGACTGAATCAATGTTGTATATTGAATCTACAGGGAAACTGCCCTCGGGGTGACGGCTGTGTCTTCTCACATCCCAAGAACGGCCAGAAGCGACCGTGTAAGCCCCCCGACCAGGCGAGACCTGCCCCTGCCGTGAGAGCTCGGACCTCCCCGACGGCCCGCATGCGGCTGGTCGACCTGAAACAGAAGAAAGAGCAGCTGGAGGACAGGTTCGACAAGAGGAGGCCGCTCTGGCAAACCTTAGAGGTAAGGCTACACCAATTTAATTTGTTAGTTCTCGGATTCACCTCTTAATTTTTTTCTGATTTGCAAAAAAAAAAAAAAAGATTCTGGTTATGAATCAACTAAAAAATGCTCACATTTTGCTGCCAACAGTTGAGGAAAGTCATTTTTGTCCTAGTTGTTGCAGTTTTTCCATCTATCAATGCAGTGATTTGATTAAAAGTCTTCATGCCTCCAATCATAGTATTTGGGGCTATAATAGGATGCCTAGAACTGTTATTATTTTCCCCCTTGTCGCTTCATATTTTTTCAGAAAAAAAATCCGAGATTATTCACTTGATAACTGTAAGAAACAAATACAGTAGTCTTTCTCTATTGTACATAACTTATATTGGGGCACATAAACCCCTAATTATATATAATCATTATATTTGTTTCTTTTCCTCGAACAGACCAGACAACCGTCACAGTCCCTTGATGCTGACGTCTGCGCCATCTGTGTCGGGTCGAGCGTCCGTGTTCTGGACTGCGGGCACCTATTTATTATTTGTATGCATATATAAATTTATATCTTTGTTTCTTTTCTTGGAACAGACCAGACAACCGTCGCAGTCCCTTGACGCCGACGTCTGTGCCATCTGCGTGGACGACCTGTACGACCTTGCGGGGTCGTGCGTGCGTGTTCTGGACTGCGGGCACCGTTTCCACGACTCGTGCGTGTCACGCTGGCTACTGAAGGAGGAGCGGACCTGCCCCTGCTGCCGACAACTCACCCTGCTGCCGGAGGAGTTCCCACGTCTGAAGTAACCCACGTTTCAAGAAACCCACGCTTGGTGACCCACACTTGAAGTAACCCATGGTTAAAATGACCCTTGGTGAAAGTAATCCATGGTTGAAGTAATCTATGAATCAAGTCATCCATGGTTGAAATGACTTGTGCTTGAAGTAACCCACGCCTGAAGTGATCCACGCTTGAGTGACCCACGCTTGAACATGACCCATGCTTGAAGTGACCCACGCTTGAAGTGACCCACGCTTGAAGTGACCCACACTTGAGTGACCCACACTTGAAGTGACCAATGTTTGAAGTAACCCGCGCTTGAAGTTACCCATGCTCCAAGAGACCCATACTTCAAGTGACCCACGCTTGAAGTGACCCATGCTTGAAATAGCCCAGGCTTGAAGTAACCCACGCTTGGAGTGACACTAACCTTAAGTGTTGGGCAGCTGGATTATAGAAGTAATATTCAAGCCAGTCAAACCCCAGAATGTACATTCCATTAAAAGAATAGATATTGTATTACTTACACTCAGGAAAGCTTCTTCATAAGAAGTAGAATGATTGGAGCAAGTTAAACTAGTAGAACTTATTTCAGGATTGCAAGATTGAATCAAAATTTGGGCTTAGAATTGATAGGTAGTGTATCTCTGTTGCTGCTACCTGACTTAGTAAGCAATGAAAATAAGTGCCAAAAGGCTACTATATGAAGTGCCTGTTCCTGAGAAGGATAGACGTAGTCATTGTCTCAGAGTAAATATGTTATTTTTTGGACCAAACCATGGAATGAATGTTAGTAAGAAATGTTCCCTTTGTAAATGTAAACACTAAGAACTTAGGGAGAGACAATATGTCAAAAGCAATGGGAGATTGAAATTTGTCAAAATCAATTTCCAGAGCATTAATAGAAATCTTGAGCCTAAGATGCACTTTATTTAAGTTGCAAAAATGCATCCACTAGTTTTTCACCATATTCTGTGTAGTATGTAGTGATAGTAACAGTTGTTACCGTAGCGAATAGATCTGATGTTCTAATATGTTTCTGTTCATTTAAATTCCTCTGTTTTTTCAAGAGCATTATTTAATTGCTGTTGCCACACGCCTATCTTAGTAACATGGCAGCTACTAGTATATAAAATTGATGTACCGAATGTTTGCCCCATTCCTATGGTTGAAAGAGTCAGGGATCAGAAGATATGCAAACATTCAAATAGTTCTGTATGTGGTACAAGAAGCAATATGTTTTGGTGTAGAAATTCCTTCCAACTGGCCTGTGGCTTGATACAAAGACAATGATGTTGGAACTAGTGCAAGGCACAAGTACACTGTAGAAAGCAGTTCACAGTAGCAAATGTTTTTGGATGTTACGTTTTGCTTTTGTATGTTTATATAAAAGTCGAGTTAACTTATTCTCGGTTGTGGGTGTCCTTCATTTTGTGACTGATGCATTTACATAGTTTTTGGAAAGTGCTTTGGAAAGTGGTAGTAAGTATACAGTAATAAGCAGTTTTGTCTATAGCCGTTATAATGACCGATATGATCTTAATAACGCCTTTGTCTACTCTCCAAGCAGAGGTTGTGATGGAATGATCGTTAGCTTTTTATACATGGCCGTTTTTTTTTGTCGCTAATCCCACCGGTGGCCGCGGACCTTCTCTGGCCAATGGATACTGCCTGGCCAATTTGATACTGTCTTTTTGTCACCGAAAGGGATCTGCTTGGAGATAAGCCTTTGTCGCATCTACAGTAGTGAACATGCGGCTTGCTATAGCGACATAGCTATGCATTGTTCGGCTATTTGTAGAACAGGTGTTTGAAAACTCAAAGGTCATGGCAGGTTTGAAATGCGCAAACAGTCGAGGTCAAACCCCTCCTAACAACCCTTAAGAGGTAGCCTGGGTACCATCCCCAGTAGTATATTCGCAAACTCTATAACTGGGTCTGGACTTGCACACATATGTAGCGTCTGGAGTCTAAATATTCGTTCAGATTTTGAACGAGCGTGCTGATTGGTCCTACTCGTCTAAGCCCTTTTTTGGGTGTGTACATATTAGGTAAGGGCTGTTCGGATGTCCGAACGGCGACGTTAGCGTCCGTTCGAACGTCCGAACGCCTTATCATCAACATGTCCGACGGCGAACCGAACGCTAAAGCGCACATGATATAGCCGTAGTCAGTCTTTCCGCGATAAATCATCAACATGGCTGACGCACAAGCCGCTCAGCTCACGGAGGTTGATGTTGACCTCGCAATCACGTCCGTTTTGGACGATTTAGACGGAATATCGTCGCTCAAAAATGAGCAAAAAGATGCATTGAATAATTTCGTTCGTGATGTTTTGGGCGTCCTACCGGTAAAAAAAAGAACGCACCGAGAAAAGGAACACTCGCGCGAAGATCTGTGTTTACAAAACAACAAACATCACTTGAATAATGCAGGTGCGCCATTGGCCGTCGCCTCTGAGGCTCAGCCAATCAAATGAAGCCCCGCTGCTCGGGCTAGCTCATTACGTGACGTCATGACCAATCGTTTTATATGTGTGCAAGTCCAGACCCAGTTATAGAGTTTGCGAATATACTACTGGGGATGGTACCCAGGCTACTTAAGAGGAAGTTTGCAACGCTATTTTCGACGTCTGCGAAGTTCCGACTCTAGCTTTCCGCAGTGCTCCACATATTGCGTTTGCAGATACTGACGACCAGAGATGGCGATCGTCAAAGCGTCGTGGGTTCTCCTGTTGCTAGTAGCAACGATCGGTAAGTTCACTGTTGTATTCAGAACCGCACATATCTAGTTCTATGCCTGAATGGGTTAGGATCAAGCACGGTTCTGGATAGTCTCAGCGTGTCTAAGAACATAGATTTGCCCCAGGAATGGATTTTGGATACGCGTGGACTATCCAGAACCGTGCCTGACCGTTGTTCTTGATAAAGCACTGTTCTGGATGCAACATTCACTGTTAGTTTGGGCTTGGGTAAGTTTGGGCTTGGGCGTTTTGTGCTTGTACTACAGGTTTGTCATGTTGACCCATTCTACCATTACCATAAGAAGAACATGACTTGTGCAGTGTATGAATGAATTCGGTTGCGCAGCTACTAGCACAAACGCCCACTTTTCGTAAGCCAGTACCCTGAGAATGCATATTGTATAGGTTTTGCATGCAGTGAAAGGGCGTTGGAAGCATGGTGTATTCACATATTCTAATGGAATATTTGGAAGTGATAGGAATGTATTAAATCATTATTTGACATGGTTTGTTGATCTTAAACTAGATTTCCTTACCGACGGAAGAATTTGGTGACGCGACTGGCAGTGTTTCATCGAGCAGTTAAAATCTGAGAGCCTTTCTTTATTACTTATCTATCCTTTTCAATTTAACCCAGAGAGCAGGTGTGACTTAAGTTCTTTCAGGATGAAAGCTTTTTTTTTTATTATTTTTTATTCACATAGATTTGTGAGCATCGGACAGGAAGCACATAATGTTTGCTTATGAAACACAAAAACAAACACAAAGTTGGGGTAACAAAAGGGTTTTTTTTCGGTGCTTCTGGCCAACTTCATCAAATATTTGCGCGCCACAGAGCGGCAGTCAGATACAATCACAAATGTCTGAATGAAATATTGTTGTATGCACACAGTATTTACATCGTAAGTAATTTGTTTGAAGAAGTTCCTGCGGCATTTCCTCAAATACTCACGCAGAGAAAGTTCTATTCACCCTGCTTTTCGGACTAATTAGGAACACTGTTAACTCAGTACCATGTCTGACAATGATAAATAGCTTGTAAGCTGTAATACTCCGCGGAACCTCTGGAGTAGACACGTAACACGCCTCAATGTTAGTTATTTTGGACTGTTTTCCCAATTATTAACACTTTGTTCGTATTTGTATTGTAGACTGAATATTAGCTAAATCACACATCATGATAACATGCAAATCAACAAAAGTTGTAGCTGATTAGGCCTACTCATCAGTTCACATTGTTCTGTACGTTTCTTGTTTTTCTAGACTCTGCGAGTGCCCAGTGTGACGAGACGCTCAGGTCTCCAGCAGGTGTGATACAGTCTCCAGGGTACCCGGGCGACTACCCGTCGAGAATGGACTACACGTGGTGCGTCGACGTACAAGGGGCCACAGGTAAACGAAAGAGAGAATGAATGAATGAATGAATGGATGGATGGATGAATGAATGAATGAATGAATGAATGAATGAATGAAAAAGAAAGGATGAAAGAATGATCAAAAGGGGAAGAACGGAGAAAGACAGGATGGGGAAAAGAAAGAATGAATGAATGAAAGTTGGAAAATGAGAGAGAGATGCACAGAAACGAAAAAAATGGAAAGAAAGGAACTTAGCTAGCAACCATTCCAGATTGGCCGTATGCTGTGTGCAGTCGAATGATTGATACACGTGATACAGTGTATAACATCAGTCCTCATAAACTTCAACCCTGGCTTTATTTCAGGCATAGATATCACGTTTTTGGGTGAATTTCACTTGGAAATCAACGAGGACAATGACGGAACGGATGTGTGTAAGGATGCCCTGGAGATAGGAGCGGGAATCGTCCCGTTCCAGAACTCCATCGGCCTCTTCTGCGGAAACAGCACTCCGCCGGCACAGAGGGTGGACACCAGGCAGATGTGGGTGAACCTGTTCACAGACAGGAACGTGGAGATATCAGGATTTCAACTGATATACAGATCAGGTACTGTAAATGCATTTTTGTTCGCGAGAGTTTTAACTTCGCGATATTCGCGAAGAACTTCTTGTCACGAAGTAATATCCAGTAGCTAGTATATAACATACATTCGTAGTTTGTATCACATGAACAGCGTGGAACAAAAGCTCTGATATTTAGAGATTTCGACCAGTCACTCTGATCGTTCCTGGACGTTCTGATACACTGGACACTGAAAATATTGAATAAGACTATTTCCTGAGAGGGGTGAAAGTGGCTATTCACATCAGGGCCCATAACCCTTCACTCAACCGAGACGGGGGCCGACATAGTCTACAGATACCTCTGATCCAGAATTGACGTCACACTTCAACTTCAACGAAGTCACGTGACAGCTCTGATATTGATGATAATGACAGTGGCCTTAGTTCCATTCGTGACAATGATGACATGCGACCCCTTTATCCAGCGTTTTTCGTTGAGGACACTGAAAAAGTCAACCTTTTTTTTCTTACATGCCTAACTGAAGAATCTTTAAGGAATCTGTCAGTCCTTTTAATTTACAAGTCTTGACATTCAATTCCCAGAGTTAGACGTGTGCTACAGCTCTCCCTGTACTAACGGAGGAACGTGCATGTCCGATTTGACCACATACACTTATACCTGCCACTGTCCGTCTGGATGGGAGGGAATTATCTTCGGAGTTAACTGCGAAATAGGTACGATAACTTATAAAGTCATTTCCAGTGTTTGAGTGTCCATATCCCCTCGTTTTTACTGTCTTTCAAGCAGTATGTTGTAACTCTCCTCCATAATAACTGATGTGGCGTTTCTTGTAATGTTCTTTGTCAATATGGTGTTATATGTATGTGGTTATATGTATGCCTGTAAACCTTTCACTTGTCCAGATATCGATGACTGTGTAAACGTCACCTGTGAGCACCAGGGAAGCTGTGTGGACTTAGTGAACGACTTCGTGTGTATCTGTAGCGCTGGGTGGGAAGGAAGATTCTGTCAGGATGGTAAGATAAACAATTTCTGTCAGGATAGAAAGATAAACAATTTTATGTCACATTTCCTGCAATTGATATCTCACCTACATTTGCCATACGAGTGTTATTGTTATATATGTGTATTCTTGTCATTTAAAACAACATTAAAAGAGGCACACATTGGTGACACAGAACCTCCTTAACCTTTAATTAATAAGCTTGTCTGACCTTCTCACTTGTCCAGATATCGATGAATGTGAGAACGTCACTTGCGAGCACCAGGGCCGCTGTGTGGAGTTATTGAACGACTTCGTGTGCAACTGTAGCTCTGGATGGGACGGACGGTTCTGTCAGGATGGTGAGATAAACTTTATATTCGACATTCGAGTGGTTATGAATTATTGTCAAAACAAGACTAAGAAGTATAGCCTGGAATCCATCCGTGAACGCTTTATCTCCGCCCCGTTCCTCCGCTCTGCCTTCACGGAGATAAAGCGTTCACGGATGGATTCTAAGCTATAAGAAGTACACATCGGTAAAACATAACCTCTTTCTCCTTTTTAACTTAAGCGGTAACTGCATTCAGTAACTGCATTCTTCTCCTGTTTACTTTTTTTCAGATGTTGATGAGTGTGCTAGTGATCCTTGTCAAAATAACGGCACATGTACCCACCAAGTTGGCGTGGATTTTTACAACTGCTCTTGTGCACCGGGATTCACCGGTGTTAACTGCGAAATAGGTGAGGACGATAACTTCACTTTATTACATTTTCAACCTTTGCTTACTTGCTTAAGGCTGTCCGTCGTTGCCGACGATGACGTCACTTCTGTGTGTCCTTCTGTGGCTAACAAGTCCTATTCTGGAGAGGCAGGTCCGTCCGCAGACGTCGCATGCGTGCTCTCCCGTGCTGCTCGGGGGCTGGTGTCAACCTTTACTTAACAACATACGATTGTTTTAGTAATAGAGTGTCTATGCCCTCTCTTTGCCATTGTCAACATATTGCAATTCTTTTTCAGAATAACATCATGTAAATTTATCTGGCTTGTATCTTGGATAATTAATTACCATTATAAACTTGTATAACTTTTCACTTGTCCAGATATCGATGACTGTGAAAACGTCACCTGTGAGCACCAGGGCAGCTGTGTGGACTTAGTGAACGACTTTGTGTGCATCTGTAGCGCTGGGTGGGAAGGAAGATTCTGTCAGGATGGTAAGATAAACAATTTTATGTCACATTTCCTGCAATTGTTTGTTTGTTTGTTTGTTTATTGGTTCGCATATATTTAAGAACAATAAAATGAACATATTACTGACAATAAAATAAAATGCTGGGGAAAGATATGAAGCCATAGTGGCTTGTCTGGGATCTTCCCCGACAAAATTAATTAACAACTGAAATAATGTTAACAAATCAAATGGTAATGATAAATAACAATAAGTAATTAATAAATTTGATCAATATGATCAATATGATAATGGTAACAAAACAAATAGTAACCGTTACAATGAATAACAAAATTGATTGATAAATAACGCTAATTAGAAATGATATGTTAGAACAAAGGTTAACAGAACTTTAACTGCAGTGCAGACAATTTGCAGAATTGAAGAAATAAATAAATGAATTTTAAAAAGAAATTCAAACTTATACAGGTGAAATCAAAGTAATAATATGTCAAATGTCGGTGGGAAAGAAAAGTAGGTGATTTTTAAGATTTCGTTTAAAGCTAATTATTGATGTTAAACATTTTAGGTGGAGCGGGAGATTATTCCAAGTAGTTATACATTTATATTTTACACTCATTTGAGCTACGGACGTTCTAACTAGGGGGATATGGAAATGGGCACTTTGTCGAGTTTGGTAAGTATGAAAATGGGAATTAAGATTTAGAAGACCATTAAATGTGTCTGGAAGAGAATAAGTAAGGAATTTAAACGTAAATAGCATCAGATGAAGTCTGTTTATATCAAAAATATTCAAAATCTTAAGTTTTGTAAACAAAGGTGCAGAATGTGCGTGGAAACTGGCGCCGGTGGCTGAACGAACAAATCTTTTTTGGAGTAATACTAGGGGCTGTAGTGTGGTTTTGTAGGCGCATCCCCAGACTATATTCCCGTAGGTTAGATATGGGTATATTAAGCTATTGTATATGGTAATACTGGTTTTTTGAGTAAGAAGATGTTTATGTTTTGATATCTCACCTACATTTGCCATACGAGTGTTATTGTTATATATGTGTATTCTTGTCATTTAAAACAACATTAAAAGAGGCACACATTGGTGACACAGAACCTCCTTAACCTTTAATTAATAAGCTTGTCCGACCTTCTCACTTGTCTAGATATCGACGAATGTGAGAACGTCACTTGCGAGCACCAGGGCCGCTGTGTGGACTTAGTGAACGACTTTGTGTGCAACTGTAGCGCCGGATGGGAGGGAAGATTCTGTCAGGATGGTAAGCAATTTCCTGCCATTGATACCTCACCTACTTTCGTCATACGAGTGATTATGAATTCTTGACATTTTAAAGAAGATTAAGTACACTTCGGTAAAACATAACCTCTTTCTCCTTTTTAACTTAAGCGGTAACTGCATTCTTCTACTGTTTACTTTTTTTTCAGATGTTGATGAGTGTGCTAGTGATCCATGTCAAAATAACGGCGATTGTTTCCAAGTTGGCGTGGATTTTTACAACTGCTCCTGCGCACCGGGATTCACCGGTGTTAACTGCGAAATAGGTGAGGACGATAACTTCACTTTATTACATTTTCAACCTTTACTTAACAACATACGATTGTTTTAGTAATAGAGTGTCTATGCCCTCTCTTTGCCATTGTCAGCATATTGCAATTCTTTTTCATGTAAATTTATGTGGCTTGTATCTTGGAAAATTAATTACCATTATAAACTTGTATAACTTTTAACTTGTCCAGATATCGATGACTGTGAAAACGTCACCTGTGAGCACCAGGGCAGCTGTGTGGACTTGGTGAACGACTTTGTATGTAACTGTAGAGCTGGATGGGAGGGAAGATTCTGTCAAGTTGAAATTGGTAAGATTAACAGTTTACACGTCTTACAGTTTCGGGCTTCTTCCGCATGTGTGTGTGTGTGTGTGTGTGTGTGTGTGTGTGTGTGTGTGTGTGTGTGTGTGTGTGTGTGTGTGTGTGCGTGCGTGCGCGCGTGCGTGCGTGCGCGTGTGTCTGTGTGTATGCATGTGTGTACTGTGTGTGTTAATTACGGCTCTCTATCACAAACCTACAGTTCTCCTCTCTGGAGTATTCTCCATAGAGGCATCCTCACCATCGCCAAGTACTGAAGAGGAGCTGACTCTCACCTGCAGGGCGACTGGCTGGATCCCTGCTGCCACCATCAGCTGGTACAGAGGAGATGTGGACAGTCCTGTGGATGCTGGGGATCAGGAGGACGCACAGGTGAGTGACGGGACGTTCACATCAACCCGGAACCTCACATTCTCACCCACCAAGGGGGACAATGGAGTAACGTACGGATGCGTGGTCAGACATCCGGCATTGTCTAGCGACGCACAGACGCATATGACCCTTAATGTCCGATATCCTGCCGAGATTGTCACTCCTCTGCCCGACGTAACTCGTGTGACGCAGGGACAGTCAGCCAACATCAGCTGCCCTGCCGACGGTAACCCGGATACCTTCATCTACACGTGGACTGAAGGGGACAGGGTCATGGACCCGAGTACTGAGCACAAATACATCATTGGCGATGGTGTGTTGACCATCGTACAAGTCACAAGCGACCTACAGGGCACAGTATACAGCTGCGAAGTGACGAACAATGTGGGTTTTACCCCTGCCAAAGCGTCAACAGTCCTCATCGTAGATATTTCATCTGATGCATCTTCAACAGTACATCCAACCGCATCTTCACCAGACACCAATTCAACCACAACGATCATCATCGCAGTAGTAGTGGTCTGCGTAGTGGTTTTGATTGCCGTTATTGTCGCTGCTGTATTCGTGATCAGACGGACTGTGGCCTCTATGGAACGGCAACATAGCAGCGCTCCTGATGAAGTGACGTTAGAACAAATACCAGGCAGTCCCAAAGATGGCTACCAGAGTCTCAGACTGCCTCGTGGGCGACTGTCTACTCACACCTACCAGGGTCTATTGGTGGCGCAAGGAGACACTAAAAATCAGCCTACTACGGATAGTGTGTATGAAGATGTGAAGACCTCATCGGAGTTTCCTCGTAGCAAATTGACTGTGAAGGAAAAACTTGGACAAGGACGGTTCGGCGATGTCTTCAGAGCTGAAGCTTTGAACATGTCAGGACATCCAGGTATAACCATCGTTGCCGTGAAGACGCTGAAATCGGTGTCAAGTCCTGCTGCCAGTCTGCCTGCTTTCTTCAAGGAACTGGACGTACTTGAGATGCTGGGAAGTCACCCAAACGTCGTGTCTTTCCTCGGCTGCTGCACAGACGAAGAACCGTTCTACCTGCTCCTAGAGTACGTGTCCGGTGGAAGCTTACAGTCCAACCTGCGTGCCAGCCGCACTCAGCAGACTTATAACAACCTGCACGGTGGAAGCAAGTCTCTGTCTTCACGGGTTCTGACAAAGTTCGCTTGGGATGTGGCTAAAGGGATGAACTTCCTATCGTCTAGGAAGATCATCCACCGAGACCTGGCCACTAGAAACGTGCTGGTTGCTGCGGACCGGACCTGTAAGGTGTCAGATTTCGGAATCTCGCGAGAGGGGGAAGTGTACGAGAGGAGGGCCAACGCTTGCCTGCCGATCCGCTGGATGGCGCCCGAGTCTCTGTTCCAGAGGTTCGTTTGTTTATAAGCATATAATCAAAGTAATTAAAACTAGAAAGGTAACATTTGACATATATTATATGGTCAGACGAGAGTCTAAATCCCTCCTGCTATGAAATTGCAACATGATGTAACCCAACACTAGCTACCATGGTGACAGACGTCTGGTTCACATTATTGGCCTTACTGATGTGGAGAAGAAAAAGAGGAAACAGAGCAAAAACAATGTTTCCATAGACATAACCTAACACAGGAAGCATATCCAGTTGCTTGAATAACTGTTTTTTTCGGCGTATCTTATTACCTGGATGTCTAACCTTCACCGACGTAATTACGTTGCAGGTTGTGCACTGTTCAGAGCGACGTGTGGTCCTTCGGCGTACTGTTGTGGGAGATTGTTACTCTCGGCGCCACCCCTTACCCAGGTATGACCTCTCGCCAGGTCATGGGTTACGTGAAGCACGGCTACAGGATGGAGAAACCGCCTCACTGCGACGACAAAATCTACAAAATCATGGCGGCGTGTTGGGAAGAGGAGCCGACAGACAGACCGAGTTTCCAAGACCTGGAACATGCTATGGAGACGCTGATAGAGGAAGAGTACATCAACCTGGCGAATTTCAACGAGGCCATCTACGCGAATCCACAAACCTCTACTGAGGAGAAGTGCTGAGACAGGGCTCGAAATTAACGGTGTCCCGATGGCCACTCTCCACTAAAATATGGGACGGGGCAACTAAAAAGACACTTTGGGAACAATAGAAAAATCTTTGGTCCGCTGGAGAGTACAGTTTGCCGCATCCGAATGCCGCCTCCCGAAGCCTGGTAGAGGCTAGTAAAAGTACTAAAACATCCCTATGTCGGCCTGTGAAACGGCTAAATAGGTCCCTTTCGCAGATGGACAAACGTGCGACAGACATGTCTTGTACTTTTCTTAATATGCCCGCAAGTTCAAATACAGCCACCTTAGATGGTGAGAAGCTGTGTTAACAGATACTGTGCACCCTTCTGTTGTTTTGTGGTGGTCATTAGTATGGATATATTAAACATAATGTACACCAGGTCTCTATTGACTCTTCTTTTTGAGTGTTGCATGTTTCTGGGTTTGACGAATGTTTGTGAAGTTTCGAAATATAAGGCTTTCCTTGGGTTTGTAGGCTTTTTTGTAGGGTTTCTCTTTTGTACTGGAATTCTTTGTTGGGTTGGGTAAAAAAAAGAGAGAAACCCCGACAAAAAAGCCTAAAAACACGTCAAAAATGACCCCAAACCTCTGCTTGGAGAGTAACAGTACTGAGACCACAACTGCAATACTTAATACATGGAACTGATGGCGCGTTCAGCACCAAGGAGAGGTCCACACTTGGGGCCTCCTATTTAACAAATGGGGGGTGTCAAAAAGTTTCGGTTATAAACACTTGCTGTGGCAGAAGGTATCCTGATCGTTGGGTTTGGCACGGAAAACAACTTTAAAATTGTACGACGAGAATAATTACTTTTGATTGGTGGCTGAAATTATCAAGAGCAATAATGATTAATCACGTTCACACCCCTATGTAATGTCACACGTGGTACGGTCCGTTCGACCATGGTTCAGTGCAGGTTATCTGTGTGATTGACGTTGTCGTGGGTGAATTCTTTCCAACTTTTGGGGTAAATTTTCGGCTTTTTGTCCGCAAATTATCCGTCTCAAGTGTACAGTATATCGTCTGAACGTTTACCAGGTCGGATTTATGCCGTTCTTTGGATGTTTGTGGAGAAAATTCGTGTTTCCTGGCAGGGCGAAATTTGGACAAGGAGAAACGAAAATGGCGACTGCCATGGCGGGAAGGACGGCGTGGTGCTGAGAAGACTCGTTCGTTCTTGTGAGGTTAGACAACAAACTATCTCCTTGAATGTACATGTTTGTACTTCCAACAAACCTGTAGCAACAGACCACGTTATAATTTGTTATGTTAACCTTTATATTCCGTAGAAATTTGCGTTTCGTGGAACGCTTTTCTCGTGCACGTGGTGTGTTAGGTCATAATTTTTGTACTTGAGTATTTTTGATAGGTTTTTTATTTCATGACTGTCATGGTTTTTGGGGACTCTGAGTATATTTCTTACGTATTGGGTGGCATTGAAAACAGCCAGGAGCAAATTTCGCTGCTGGAAACGTTTTATTTTGTTGGAAATTTCCTCACCTTTTGGAATGTACTGCACGCACGTGTGCATTATTAAACCCACTCAACGTTCCCGCCAAAAACGTCCCTTTAAAGGCATCCAGTGCAGTTTTTAGAGCTTAGAAACCCGATTTTTGAAAGCCAATATTCTAGTAATTTATCTATATAGTGAGTTGAAACCACAGTATCCCAATGTATATAATTTGACCCTCATGGAGCAAAACTTACCAAAATTCTGACGGAAAATGGTTACTGGAAGGACCCTGGGATGAGTTTTAGGGTACCACCCATAAAATAAAGGACTCATCTTGGAGCTTGTTTCTGCAGTTTTAAATGCCCAAAGTATGACTCAAATGTGCTAATGTGAAGCAGTATGTGTCAATATCTGAAAGATTGCCTTATTAAGAATATTTCCAATTTTGATGCCCTGACATCACATCGGATGCCTTAAACAAGACATCCAGAGGCTAAAATTATCTGGGTGATAATGTTACATTGTGCTCTTCTGGGCACTCAAAATTAAACCTGTGCACAAGTGAAAAAAATTTGATAATACTAGTATTCCGATTTTGTTAGGTGTATCATTGCCTTTGTATTTTACTGGATTTTATACTTTATTGGCAAGTTGTATCTGTTGGTATACAATCATATAATTGTATGAAACAGTCACTGCAGTTGCTTGGTTTGATTTTGAGGATGTACTATGCAATTTTGGTCCTTATTGTATCATTTATACGTAGTATGTATAGCTAGTGTTAGTGCTTTGTTAACGACATCACAGATAGCCAGTGTCTTGTTTCATAAACCCCATTCCCACTAAGGCCACAGCAAGTAATTTTTATGGATGACATCAGCACGCGCATTGATTTTCGCCTGATTTTGGAAAAAAGAACAAGAAATTTTGTTGCCCTCTAACAGTGGTCACCATGCCGAAAATGGGCAAAGATGTCTGTTGCCATGCCGGAAGGTGGAAGGCAGAGAGGAGACAAGAAAAGGCTCTGATTTACTGTTTTATGTCTTACTTTGATGCAGTAGTGATATGTGATACTGGCTGTGTATATGTGATGTTCCTACTGAATCAAACCATTTGTACGATGATTGAGTCAAAATTTTAAAATGTTTTTTTCAACCAGCCTTGTTTTTTTCCGCCCGCTCGCATTAGATTTGGAGTCTGCGGAGGATGTCATCCATAAAATTTACTAATTTGTGCTAACTTGATTATTTGAGACAAGTGTGCAACTTCTAATGTCTGTATAGTTAGGTGGCTGCTGACTGATGCAGTAGTGGGGACTCCTGTCTGAACCTGACAAGAGAAGATAGGACCAGACCAGATGATTTGAAGACCCAAGAGGAATATCAGGTGAGGAAAATCACAAATTTGGATTCTGCGTATAGCTATTTGGTGTTATTTGAGATGAGTGTGTAACTTGTAATGTCTGTATAGTTAGGTGGCTGCTGACTGATGTAGTTGTGCACGAGGGCTCCTGTCTAAAACTGATAACACTGGATTGGACCAGACCAGATGATTTGAAGACCCAAGAGGTATATCAGGCTACCAGTGAAAGAAATCAGAATTCTACATTCAACCTTCTTGTTATTTTATATTATTTGAGACAAGTGTGTAACTTCTAATGTCTGTATAGTTAGGTGTCTGCTGACTGATGCAGTAGTGGGGACTCCTGTCTGAACCTGACAAGAGAAGATTGGACCAGACCAGACCAGGCGACCCCAGAAGACCCTAGAAGAATATCAGGCGAGAAAAATCTTTCTGCGTTTTGCAAATTCCACTTGCTTGGTGTATTTGAGGAAAGTGTGTAACTTGTTATATAATTATATCTGTATATAGTACTTAGTAACTTCTTTCTGTTGCTAATATGCCAGAATTAAAGTCACTGTAACTTCAAAGAAATAACACACAGCCTGGATTTTTTTAATTTTTTAATTTTTCTACATCAGATTTATTGATAAGCAAAGGGATTATTAAGTTCATTTGTTCAAGTTTCTTATCTATCATTTAATGGCCATTCAGTGTTGAATGGGAGATGTTTTTGCATCCCACTAATTATCCTTTCCTTATCAAATGTAGGTGTGTCTTGACGTTCCTGTGCTGACTGGGAGAAACCTGTGATGACCAGCGACTCCTGTCCAATGCAGACCAAACGAGAGCTTAGAGCTGACTTGAAGACACAGAACATTTGAGACACAGCACAGAAGAAGACCAAGACATTGAACTGGTAAGTTTGTATTTCCAAACATACATTTGAAAGGTTGACATGTTACAAAGATAACCTACATAGTGCCATCAGTGACAGTTTTGTCTGTATTGAATATAAAGTTAACATTTTTGGGGGTTGGCTACATCCTTTTTTTGTAAAATGTAATCAGATTTAGGTATTCTGATTCGATGGAGGTTAAACATGCAGAAAACGGTTACTCAAGCAACTGGATAGATTTTGACTATCAGACATTTAAAGAAGCATCCACTTCTTTTCTTCAGTAAAGACAATCAGTAGAAGCTATACACTCCAAAAGAAAAAAAATAATGCATGTGATATTCAGGTTTATTTGGTTTTATTTGCAAATAGCATCAATTTCCTACCAAAATATGAAAGTTTGAGAAATTTGGATGATTTTTAATTTCAACTAACAGTATTTTAACTGGGATGGACTGATGCTCAGTCAACAGACAATGCAAACCACATTGAATTTCACACTTCAGTAAGACTTTGACTTGCCTGACACTAATTTCCAAACAAACTACTAGACAAATTGTGAAGAGACTGTCTCTATGGACATGAAGAGAGTTGTAAAATGGTTAAATGAAAACAAGTTGCTGCTACATCCTGACAAAACCAAATCGATGCTCTTCGGGCTCCCTCAGAAATTGAGGCATGCTGGGACATCCGTCAACATAACAGACGGTGTGAATGTATATAAGCAAGTTGATTCGTTCACTTACCTGGGCATTACTCTCGACCCATCACTCAGGTGGGCAGCACATGTGCACAGAATCACGAAGAAGCTTCTTAGCGGACTCGGAGCCATGGGGCGTGCTAGAGCCTTTGTTACAAAGGAAGTTCTGCGTACCATGTACCAGACACTACTACTGTCTCATCTGGAGTATTGTGCCACAGCATGGCTACCAAGTCTTGTACAAGGCAACAAGACTCTTATGTCACAGCTGGACAGACTGGTCAACCGAGCTGCAAGG